AGGAATAAGTGATAAGTCAGAAAGTCGTTTAGAGGATAATAGTGGTTTTGGTGATGGAGATAGCCGTTCATGTCGTGGTGATCATTCCTTAATGGGAGGTAACTCCTTCAGTAAATGGAATTCTGTGTATAGTAAAAACATCCCCGTAGCCAACGTATCGCCGATGGTGCACGGCCATAGCACAACGTCATCAAAAACAAAAGTTGACGTCACTAGACCGGAGTCATGTGACCATTTTAAATGTGACATCGATCCAAATAAGCCCGTTGACCAGAAACCGTCCAGTATCAGTGTCAGTGAAACGTTTGGTGATATCAAGTTTGACGAGCGTTTTATTGACGACGATTTGCTAGTGTTAGATAAAAATGACGTTTCGACTTTTTCAAGATCACGTAACATGATGAAAAGTTTAAATCGACAGAAGCAATTATCAGATGAACAGGCAAACGAGCGTAAAACTGTGATATCCGACTGTCCTGTCCAGTCTGACGTGGATGAGGAAGACTCAATCCACGAGCGGAAATATTGTACATCTCGATCACAATCGGCGGACAAGTCTCGATCATCCTCGGCCGACAAATCGCGGTCGTCCTCGGCCGACAAGACTCGATCTCTGCTAGCGGAAATCGCCAATTCTGACGGCTATGTGGCGGAGTCCAAGGTCAAGGCCAAGACTGATGACCTCTTAACCGATGACCCGGCAACACTTGGTCGGGAGGAGAGAGCTTTATTGGTAAGTTTTATGTAAATACAGAAGACTAGATCCACGCAAGGCTGTTATTCAAGAAATCACAAAAAAATCCGTTCAAAGGTTATACGCAAATAGTCTTTAAAAGTGTACTTAGTCGTGTATTTGTTATTAACAACAACTAGCTTGACGCGTTTCCGGAAAACGGAATGCATCGATCATTTGCTCTGATAAAAGCGGAAACTTTCCCGAGAACACTAAAAGGCTGACCTATTTTTATTCACTCTTAAAATCTATACAACAAATATTTTAAGTTTCTGGAATATGTAGGACATATTTTTTTCTTTTGACGACATAACAATTGTTGGGTATATCGATACAATGTACATTCAAATCTATGCTCATCTTATCTTCCAAAGGCGACCGGAAATAACCAATGAAGAAGTAGTAGCTATAGAGACAGACCCTTTCAATATCTATTTTTTTGGGGGCGTTTCCGGTATATCATTATTTTTTCCCCTATTATTGCCTGTTGCGATTTGGATGTACAAAACAAATGTAAAAAAAATAAAATTTGTGTTATTGCTTTATGTAAAATCAGCTATCGATATTTGTAGCATCATATTCCTGTTAAGTGTTTGCCGTGATGTGTTGAAACAGATGCAGGCTACATTTCCGATAAACAGCAATGCAGATTGTTTACTTCTGCTAGCAAAACCAGAACGCAAGGTCTACCGCTGGAACGTTCGTCAAAAGTCTGGTTTATGGGAAAAAAATGAAATTTGATAGCTGTTTTATAAGACGTATACGCGTTTATTGGTAAATGGTGGGTCAATATGAGTTCAGATTAGATGTACTCTTGTTTAAGTTACGCATGGGAAAATCATTAGCTAGCGGTATCGTGCGGTGAAAGCACGCTTCACGAGATTCTCGCTGAGCAGTCGTTTACAGCCCAATCCAACCTGCGTCATCAATCTCCAAACATGGCGCTGTGTGGGCGGGGTCCCTGACCACAGAAGCATGCTTATTGTTTTGTTGACAGTACTTCCAGGTTTCATTAGAAGTATTCATGTTCCTCTCAATCTCCATTCCAACCCCACACAACAACAGCGAAATCGGCCAAAACAATCCGGAATTATAATGCTTATTTTTGACATGCAATTTTTCGCTACCATTATCAAACTTAACCTCAAATTGGGAAAACGTTATTTTGATGAAAAGCATTTATTAAAATGTAACATCTATCACCAAATCGTTTTGGTAGTACTTGACTTGCTATGACATAAATATGAATAATATTTGTGTTCTTTGTATTGACTGCACTACAGACTACCACTATTGATTTGAACGTCATTTTATCTATTGAAAAAAAGTCGTTTCGGTTACAGAGAGCTATAAAACGGTTTGAGGAAATGGAAGAGAGACCCGACCTACCCCCGTCATCTCCTAAACCCGCGAAACAATCTAACACTAAACTCAAGGTAAGTAAAATCAAACAACAGACTCAAGGACCTCGCGTACTAATATTCCATTTATTCTTGTCAGTTAATCCACAGCCACCAGTTATTTAAGGTGCAGCAGAATGTTTGTTTTTTACCCCAAATGTATGTTGCAATCCTAAAAACGTTAAGAGAATGAAAGACATTCCTCATAGTTACATTGTATTTAATCAACATCGTTTTGGGTCTTTCAAACAATTTCAATAAATATCAGAATATTCTTATACGCACAGAAACACGCCTGTTGCAACAGCGACAATTGATTACACAGCCAGTCTATTTCCGCGGGAATCGTGGCATATACTTGATGTATCTATGGCAACAAGCTAGCGACATACACAAACCCAAATAGTACCATGGAGACAATACTTAGAAACACTATGGAATAATAGTGAATTGCATTTCAATATATTAGGTACAACATTACGTGGGTGCATATTTTACCTCGGTTGTACTATTTTCGTGTATTCCTCGTCCTTTTTTGGTGACGTCACAAATTGTATATTATTGGGAAATAATTAACATAGGACACAAGGTTAATCTAGGCACTGTGCAAAACAAATGATATTTCAAACTTATAAATACATATTAAATAACCAACAAAAATACGTTAAGAAGATAATTAACATTGAAATTTATGATAAAACGTAGTCAAAAAACATGTTATTCTCGGTCAATTGTATGTTATGATAATTTGACCTTAACTCATTCACCCCTGAAGACACATTTGAACCCTTCCAACTCAAAGGTTCAAATAGTTCATTATGAAATTTCAGGGATGAATGAGTTAATGTGCTGCTAATTCGAAACATAGGAAATAAACTAGCGTCCATTATAGCAAAATAATGCTTGTTTAGCAACATCGGTAAACCTCGTGTCTTTTATAACATCTCAAAATTAGTTAACTTTTGGTAGATAGATATAATAACAAACCTTAAAACTTCACTGAAGAAATATCAATTCTGACCTTACAGTCGGCAAACACCTTCAATTTACGAGCATAGTCGTTAGGCCGGCATACACAGACGACTGACAATCGAAATCTTACAGCCGACAGACACAGACGACTGACAATCTAAATCTT